CAACTGAATCACCACCTGTGGGTGAAGTGCCCAATCTCCGTAACGCTCCGCTGTTCATTGTACCCATCACGTGTGTTGCACGAAGCGACAGAAACCGAGTGCTGCTCCACACAATTAGTCTGTGAGCTAGACTGTGAAGCCGTTGAGAGCGCATGCCCCCTTGTCTGTTTATGTACGCCACCACTGTTGTGTTGTCTGATCTGATCAGCACATGAAATCCCTGAAGGAAATGAATAAAGTGGTTTAAGCCTAGTAGCACCGTAAGTAGTTCCAGGTAATTTATGTGGTTTTCCCTCTGAGAAGGAGACCACACCCCCCGCACCGCTCTGCCTACACTGCACCCCAGCCCGTAAGTGACGCATCCGTCGTCACTACCTTCCTTAAAGTGATCGGACCTAACGTGGTCCCTTCCCTGAGAAAGGAGGGGGCTCTCCAGTGATGTAAAGCCCTCACACACTCCTCCGTAATGATCACTCTGCGGCTGAGCCGGCGTCCGAGGCGCGAGCTCTGAGTCGCTGTCCAGCACTGAAATTCTCTCATTCTCAGCAACCCCAGGGGAATTATGACTGTGACTGCGCACAGAGCAAAAGGTCGTCCAAATAGGCTGATACTCTGACTCCCGCTTGACGCAGCGGCGTCAGAGCAGCCTCTACACATTTGCTGAAAGTTCTCGGTGCGAGAGACAAACCAAACGGAGTCCTTTGATACCTGTAAGCTCTGCCCTGATAAGCAAACCTGAGAAATTTCCTGTGTGCAGGAAATATTTCTATATGGAAGTAAGCGTCCTTGAGATCTATCGATGTGAACCAATCTCCTTGACGCACTACTTGTGATAAAGTTCGTAAGTTGAGCATTTTGAACCTGTACTTCCTGAGGTGTTTGTTCAGGGCCAGCAAATCTAAAGGGCGGAGACCCCCACCTTTTTTGAGAATCACAAAGTACCGGGAGTAAAACCCATGCTGACTTTCCTCTCGCGGCACTGTTCTTATCACTCCTTTGTTCAAGAGAGAAGATATTTCTTCCTCTAAAACCTGCGCCAATTCCCCCTGTGCTTTTGACATAACCACTCCTTTGAAACTCGGTGGTTTTACAACGACTTGGAGTCTGTAACCTTTCTCTATTGTGGATAGAATCCATGGAGATACTGCGCATGCGCGCCAGCTCTCTGCTCGCGCAGCAAGTGTGCTCCACTCCCCTTCGCTCACTGGTGGTGCGGTGGCGAAAAAGGGCATTGCAACTCCAGTGGGGAATCTTTTGGTTTCGTTTTCATAATTTTTATTGTTGTTTTTATATTCTTCCCCGCCCTTGGCCCTTGGCCTGGATGCGTGGGAGTTTCTTTTATTTTTACACCTTCTTTGCTCGTGTAAACATTCTCCTCTGCCCTCGACATTAACCCCGTGGGTGGAGGGAGGGGAATAATTGCAGGGAGTACTCCAGGAGCTTGTGGTACTGACCCTTATACAACTGTGAGTGAACCTGCTGAACTGGCCCTTAAAACAACAAATTTGGAGCGTCTACAGTTAACAACTTTCTCTGTTTCCCTGGGGGCGGGAGAAAAGTGTTGAACTCTGAGGGGGGTGGAGTAGAAAACCCCAGGTGCTGTTTCCTGTCCCCCTGTGTTAAACAGTCCTGACCCTAGGTCCCTCGTCTCTTTTTGCCCCCTTGAGGGTTAGAAGGATGATGCTTTTCTGCAGCTGCAGCATAAGACTGTTTCCCCTTAGCCTGAGCCGGCCTTGGCTGTGCTGACACATTAGCCAGATGCTGGGGGGGTGGGGGGCGATTACAACGATAGTTCGTGTATCCCCCTCTTGACTGTGACATGGAACTCACGTGAGCAGGCTGATAAGGTCTGACTGGTGGTTTCCTTGGCAGGCAGGTTTCGAACACCTCTCCCTCCTTCTTTCTCAAGTCACACTGTTGGTGCATGGCTGTGACAGTCTAGCCAAACAGTGCCTTGGGATCTATGGGGGCATCCAGAAATTCCACTTTTTCCTTTTCTGAAAGGCCTGAGAGACTGAGCCACAACGTTCAGATCGGCTATCACACAGATCTCCTCCCAAAGGGCTGGGTTCGGAGAGCCTGCGTCCATCTGACGGCCCATCTCCTTCAACAGCTCCCCCTGGTATGCTGTCAGAAGAGATGTCACATTAAGGGCCCTGACGGCCAGAGCAGAGGATTTATATATCTTTTGGAAAACCGAGGCTGAAAACCGCTCCGTTTTCCCAGGCAGCGTGACGCCCGCAGACGAAAACGCTGCCCTGCGTCCTGGATGCAAGTGGTTGGCTACTGAAAGCTCCACCTGTGGGGGGTCAGCTAACCCCAGCTCCCCCATATCCTGAATGTCCAGTCATGCAAAACCCTTAACAGGCACACAGTGGGAAAATGGTTTGTCCCAGTGTCTTTTCATCTCCGCCATGCATGCCGGGACAGCCGGGATGAACTGTCTAACTGGTGCAAGGCATGATGGCAATCTCTTACCATTGTAGAGATCCCTCTCTGCCCCTTGACCCACCTGCTGAGAGGGCCAGTCAATGAAAAGCTTGGCCGCAGCCCTATGGCAAACTTCCAATAAGTCTAACTCCACAGCAGAGGAAGAGGGGGGCTCCCCGCTCTGGCTGCTTGGTGGACGAGATGTATTACGAGGGAAGATAGCATCCTCCTCCTCCTCTTCATCATCCTCCAAAAGATGGGGGGATAATTCCTCATCATCATCGTCATCCTCTCCTGTCACACCAGCAAGCTGTACTGTACTATAACATACTGTATCATATTATACTATACTATAAACTGTAGTTATTTTCATGCACAGTGATTGTTATGGGCTAGTGTCAGTGTTTTGTGTGTGTCCCAGCTGGAGCAGGAGCGAGGGGAACAGAAAAGCAGGCACACTCAGATGAGGGAGACAATGATGAGTCTGGAGGAGGAAATTCAAATACTTGGGCGAAAACTCAATGCCAGTGAGGAAGAACTCACCCGCCTAAGAAATGAGTGCAGCAGCCGCAGGTACACCAGCAATCAAAAACAACAAAATGTGTCCATATTTCAAAGCTGAAAGTTTTTAGTTTAATACTTTCATTGTTCATTTCTTTTTGTGTGTGTGTGTATACCAGACTCACAAATAATCAGTTGGAAATCTCTCTGAGTGAGAATCAGCGAAGACTAACCAGCAGGATTGGAGAGGTACACAACACTCAGGAGAGAAATAAAATGCTGGATGAGAAGAATGGTGAGAAAGCCAGACAGTACCTTTAATCTGTGCTGTTATTAATCAGTAGATATCTCAGGTGAAATTATGCCAGAGCTATGGGAAGAACAAAAATATACAATACCGTTCAAAAGTTTTGATTTTTTTTTAGAGAAATTAATACTTTTATTAATCAAGGAAATGCTGTTTTTTAAAACTTTCTATTCATTAAAAAATACTTTAAAAATTGCATCACGGTTTCCACAAATATATTAAGCTGTTTTCAGTATTGATTATAATAAGAAATGTTTCTTGAGCAACAAATCAGAATATTAAAATGATTTCTGAAAGATCATGTGACACTGAAGACTGGAGTAATGATGCTGAAAAATATTTGATCAAATAAATGATCTTGGTAAGTATAAGAGACTTCTTTTAAAAGCATTATAAAATGTTTCTGAGCCCAAACATTTGAATGGTAGTGTGTTGATAAATGTTTTGAATTAATCAGTCTGACAGGTGCAATAATTTAAAATAATATATGTGTATAACTGCATCACTTTTCCTTTGTGTGTTTCAGACTCTCTCCTGAGGCAGGTGACTGCTATGCAAGAGGAGATGAACACACTGCGGGGAACAGTCTCAGAGCTGGACCAGCACAGAGTTTTGCTGCAGGAACAACTGGAGAAAAAGACAGATCTGCTCAGCACAGCAGATGACCAGCTAGATGAGAAGGTACTACCTACGTTCACACACTAAAACACATATTTTTGGTTGTATATTAGAATTGCTTGCTTTCCAGTTAGTTAGTACACTTGGTGATATGTTTTTTTTAAAGGAGAAAACCATCAGGAGCTTGAAACTGAGAACCGAGGATCTTGGGACAACTCTAATGTAAATTCTCTATTAATTTTTACAGATTAACAAACAGTCATGTGTAGTGATTGTGTAGCGTGTGGTGAATGATTCTTTAAAAATTTTACAGAAACTTTACCAAAATTCTGTATAAAATAAAGCTTACTGTATTATTTTCTTTTCCTTACACAGTGTGTTATGTTCACCATCCAGGTATAAGAATAATGCTAATGTTGATGTATCATAATTACACTATAGTATATAGTCATAGTTGTTGTTGACTCTAGCTCATGCTTACTATTTGTAGTGCATTATTACATAGGTCAAGTATTTTCTGGAATACTTGATTCTATTTGGTCACTTTCGGCATTGAAGGGTGAAAGCTTCTCCCTTTCTGGGTTTATTTTGCAACAATAACAAGCCGGCTGTACATTATCCCTCACATCTGGGCTCAAAATATATAATTTCGTAGAACAGTTTTGTGTAGCTTCTCCTTTATATACATGAACGTTTACATGCTTGGGGTCAGTAAGATTTTTGTAATGTGGTTTGAGAAGTCTCTTATACTCACCTCGGCTGCATTTGCATTTGACCAAAAAACACAGTAAAAACTGTAATATTGTGAAATATTATTAAAATTTAAAACAACTGTTTTCTATCTTAATACTATTTGTAATGTAATGTATTCCTGTGATGGCAAAACTGAATTTTCAGCATCATTACTCCAGTCTTCAGTGTCACATGATCCTTCAGAAATCATTCTAATATGCTGATTTGCTGCTCAAGAAACATTTCTGTTGAAAACAGTTGTGCTGCTTAATATATCTTTTGTGGAAACATGATACATTTTTCAGGATTCTTTGAGTAGAAAAAGAGCAAATATATATATCAAAAGAACAATATTTATTTAGAAAAAGAAATATTTTGTAACATTATATATGTCTTTACTGTCACTTTTAATCAATTTAATGCATCCTTGTTAAATAAAATTATTAATTTCATTAATTAATTTTGAATGGTAGTGTAGTTTCCTCTGTGTTTGTAATACAGAAATATTTAGAGGATATAAACCAGCATTTGTAGTTTTGAGTACTTGAGTGTATGAGTAGGTGATGTATTAGTATTCATAACATCAATAACAATAGCATGCTGTATTTCCTCAAATTATTTTTGACTATGATTTATGAGTGACTATGAAAATTAGTGGTGATGATGATGTGGCTTCCTGTCTACAGAGCTCTGAGGGAGACCGTAGCTGGCAGAGAAAGAGAGCTGGATTTTCTGAGGAGGAAGCTGTCAGACTCTGACAACAAGATGGGCACAGTGATGAAAGTCAAAGACGCCACATTGCAAAAGAACGGCCAGCTGAGGGAAGACCTTGACAAAGCACATCTGGAGAATCAGGTACTGTACCAAACTGTTTAATGCAAATTCATTGCAAATAAATAATGTAAAAAGACCTCCAACTTTCTATATTTCTTTTCAGACTTTACAGCTCAAGCTGGATGAAGCTAATGAGGAAATAGAAGACTTGCAGAAAAAAGTACAAGTTCACAATGCTGACATCTCACGCACTGAAGATCTGTTGTCTGCTAAGGTGGAGTTATTTAAACAAAAAAGGCTGTTAAACAGATGACAAGCATGTTCTGTGTAGTGTGTTCTTGATTGTTCTTGTTTGTTGCTCTTTAGGAGCGTGAGTGCAGAGAACTGCAAGAGTCTCAAAGGAAAGCGTCACTTCAGGTGGAAAGCTGGGAGGAGCAGGCCAGACATGCTGAAACCACTGTCATTGAACTCCGTCTTGAGCTTCACAACTCAAACTTAGAGATCCTTCGACTCAAAGAAAGAGCAGACAGCCTAGAGAGCAGCCTGCAACAGGTCACTTGGCCATCATGATGTTGGTATTTGTTAATATGCAGGAGATATCTCAACTCAGCCCAAATGCTCACTACCTATTTGTAGTATTACATACAGTAGGTCAAGTATTTTCTGGAATACTTGATTCTATTTGGTCACTTTCGGCATTGAAGGGTGAAAGCTTCTCCCTTTCTGGGTTTATTTTGCAACAATAACAAGCCGGCTGTACATTATCCCTCACATCTGGGCTCAAAATATATAATTTCGTAGAACAGTTTTGTGTAGCTTCTCCTTTATATACATGAACGTTTACATGCTTGGGGTCAGTAAGATTTTTGTAATGTGGTTTGAGAAGTCTCTTATACTCACCTCGGCTGCATTTGCATTTGACCAAAAAACACAGTAAAAACTGTAATATTGTGAAATATTATTAAAATTTAAAACAACTGTTTTCTATCTTAATACTATTTGTAATGTAATGTATTCCTGTGATGGCAAAACTGAATTTTCAGCATCATTACTCCAGTCTTCAGTGTCACATGATCCTTCAGAAATCATTCTAATATGCTGATTTGCTGCTCAAGAAACATTTCTGTTGAAAACAGTTGTGCTGCTTAATATATCTTTTGTGGAAACATGATACATTTTTCAGGATTCTTTGAGTAGAAAAAGAGCAAATATATATATCAAAAGAACAATATTTATTTAGAAAAATAAATATTTTGTAACATTATATATGTCTTTACTGTCACTTTTAATCAATTTAATGCATCCTTGTTAAATAAAATTATTAATTTTATTAATTAATTTTGAATGGTAGTGTAGTTTCCTCTGTGTTTGTAATACAGAAATATTTAGAGGATATAAACCAGCATTTGTAGTTTTGAGTACTTGAGTGTATGAGTAGGTGATGTATTAGTATTCATAACATCAATAACAATAGCATGCTGTATTTCCTCAAATTATTTTTGACTATGATTTATGAGTGACTATGAAAATTAGTGGTGATGATGATGTGGCTTCCTGTCTACAGAGCTCTGAGGGAGACCGTAGCTGGCAGAGAAAGAGAGCTGGATTTTCTGAGGAGGAAGCTGTCAGACTCTGACAACAAGATGGGCACAGTGATGAAAGTCAAAGACGCCACATTGCAAAAGAACGGCCAGCTGAGGGAAGACCTTGACAAAGCACATCTGGAGAATCAGGTACTGTACCAAACTGTTTAATGCAAATTCATTGCAAATAAATAATGTAAAAGACCTCCAACTTTCTATATTTCTTTTCAGACTTTACAGCTCAAGCTGGATGAAGCTAATGAGGAAATAGAAGACTTGCAGAAAAAAGTACAAGTTCACAATGCTGACATCTCACGCACTGAAGATCTGTTGTCTGCTAAGGTGGAGTCATTTAAACAAAAAAGGCTGTTAAACAGATGACAAGCATGTTCTGTGTAGTGTGTTCTTGATTGTTCTTGTTTGTTGCTCTTTAGGAGCGTGAGTGCAGAGAACTGCAAGAGTCTCAAAGGAAAGCGTCACTTCAGGTGGAAAGCTGGGAGGAGCAGGCCAGACATGCTGAAACCACTGTCATTGAACTCCGTCTTGAGCTTCACAACTCAAACTTAGAGATCCTTCGACTCAAAGAAAGAGCAGACAGCCTAGAGAGCAGCCTGCAACAGGTCACTTGGCCATCATGATGTTGGTATTTGTTAATATGCAGGAGATATCTCAACTCAGCCCAAATGCTCACTACAAGACTGAAGCTCATCAAGTTTTTGAAGCCTCACATTGTAGCAAACCCATAGAGTGTGTCCGTAGCTAATGTTCTTCAGACTGGTAATGCAGTTAGCTTTAGATAACTCAGTCTCTCATAAATTGTGGTTTGTTGCTGTGTCCAGGCACTGAGTGCAGAGCGTAGCTGTACTAGCCAGCTGTCTCAGCTTAACCGAAAGATGATTCACATGGAGGAAGTTCTGCGTCAGGCCCAGACTGAGCGTATACAGGTGCAGACCGACCTGGAAAAAACACGAGAGCTCTGCGTCAAACTGGACGCCAGCAAAGAAGCTGTGAGTGCTTAAATTGGTTTATAACAAGTATATTTTTTGTATATTACCTACTTGATGTCAGGGCAACAAGTATAACTGCAGGATTAAAACACACGCTATTCAGCACCATAGACCGAAGCTTTTACCTCAGCATACAGGTGCAGACCGACCTGGAAAAAACACGAGAGCTCTGCGTCAAACTGGACGCCAGCAAAGAAGCTGTGAGTGCTTAAATTGGTTTATAACAAGTAGATTTTTTGTATATTACCTACTTGATGTCAGGGCAACAAGTATAACTGCAGGATTAAAACACACGCTATTCAGCACCATAGACCGAAGCTTTTACCTCAGAAATTTTTGCACCACCAACTTAAAGTTAGCCCTTCAAACATGACCCATGTATGACTCAAGCCCACAACCCCCAACTCTAGAGTCTGATGCCTTATCCATTAGGCTACTGGGACGATTTTGTTTGCTATTAATTGAGTTTGGATTTTTGTAGAAACATCAGAAGTTTTTTTTTTTTTGAGCTACTGTAGAATTTTTTCAGCACTTCAAACACAACCCAGGTGGCACTTGATCACAATCTCCAGGGACGGAGTTCATGCCTTATCCATTGAGCGACTGGGTCTCTTGCTTGTTTGGTGTTCACTATTAATTGTTTTTGGCTTTTTGCAGAAACACAATGCTCATTACTAGGTGTTTTTAAAAAAAAAACAATTGCCATGTAATTTTTGTAGTATTTCAGACACAACCCAGCTGGAACTCAAACCCACAATTCCCAGCTCCGGAGGCTGATGCCTTATCCATTAGGCCACAGGGTCTCTTGTTGTGCACTATTAATGAATTTTGGCTTTTTGCAGAAACACAATGCAAACCATTTGCCATAGAATTTGTGCAGCACTTCAAACACAACCCAGGCGGGACTCGAACCCCCAATTCCCAGCTCCGGAGGGTGATGTCTTATCCATTAGGCCACTGGGTCTCTTGTTTCTAATGGATTTTGGCTTTTTGCAGAAAAACAATACACATTAGAAGGTGTTTTTGTTATGTTTTTTAAACAAATTGCCAAATAATTTGTGTAGTATTTCAGACGCAACCCAGGTGGGACTCGAACCCAAAATTCCCAGCTCTGGAGGCTGATGCCTTATCCATTAGGATGCTGGGTCGCTTGATGTTTTGGTGTCTGCTATTAATTCATTTTGGCTTTTTGCAGAAACAATGCACATTAGAAGGTGGGATTTTTTTTAACAAATTGCCATAGAGTTTGTGTAGCACTTCAAACTCAACCAAGGTGGGGCACGAACCCACAATTCCCAGCTCTAGAGACTTATGCCTTAGCCATTAGGCCACTTGTTGTTTTGGTGGCCGCTATTAATTAATTTAGTCTTTTTGCAGAAACAGTGCACATTAGAATGTTTTTTTTTTAAACAAATTACTGTAGCACTTCAAACACAACCCAGGTGGAACTCAAACCCACAATCCCCAGCTCCAGAAGTTGATGCTTTATCCATTAGGCCACTGGAAATTTGGCACACGACATTTCAGTAATCTCACCCTCAGAACGTCAGCCTAAAAGCATCTGCTAAAGGACTAAATGGCAAAAAAAAAAGTAAAGTTTTTAAATTCTGAGCAATTTATGGGAGGAACTCATTTTAAATTAGATATTTAATTTCTTAAATGTTTTAGGGGTTTATGCATTTAACATCGTTTTTAATGCGAAAACTAAATTGCCTTTGAGAAAATTAAATATAACGCAAATGTAAATAAATCACATAAAATGTCACATAAAAAGCACAAAATGTCTATGTGCTTATATGTACAGGTGCAGAGTGAGCTGGAATCATGCCGCTCTGAGATTGAGCTGTTACAGAAGCAGCTGGCCAGCGAACGTCTGTCTGTTCAGACTTTGGAGAGCCTGCTGGTGTCTTCACGAGAAAAGGAGTTACAGAGGCAGCTCACCTCTCAGGAAAGACCGACTGAAATACAAATTCTCAAGGACAAACTCAGCATGGCTGACAGCAAAGTGTGAGTTTAGCACATACACATATGACATTTCATAGAGCACAGCAGCTGTTTTTGTCTTTCTGTCTTCGTCTTCCACTTACTGTCTTCTTCCACTTACTGTCTCTAGGAGTTCTCAGAGTAGGGAAATGGCTCAACTGAGGACACGATCAACCCAGCTGGAGGCAGATATTGAGATGACCAAGAGACACCTGGCCACTGAGCACTTTGAACGGTGAGACACAAACCTCACCGGGATAGTTCAGCCAAAAATGAAAAATCTGTCATTTACTCATTCTCATGTTGTTCCAGTTCCAATACTGAATATATTTATTTATGGTTTGAACAGTAAAGACTAAGGATTTGAATGTCCTGTCCATGTTTATCAGGGAGCGTGCAGTACAGGAGCTGCGTAGGCAAGGACTCTCAGCTATTTCTCCTGTCCTCTCCTCCACTATGCGCTCCTCATCCACTTCCCGTCGTCGCTCTCTGAGTCCTCACAGATCATGGTCTCCAGAACGCTCTCATCACAGCACACCTGACCCACTGCTTGTGCCACATTACCCTGACAGGTGCACGCCAGTCGTAGATTTGTCATTCTAGGTTTAAATGAGTAGAAATTGGAAGTGCTGGTTGCTTTGTTCTGTTTATTTAGTGCATTAATTTGTAATACTTTTTATCTGTTTATTCTTTAACAGGAGTCTGAATTTCAGGGACCTTTATGACTGACAAGATCTCAATACTCCAATTTTGCTGGCATAATTCATTCATTTCATCTCCTTATGTCTTGGATTCTGAAGACAATCAATAGACTCTGATCTCTGATTTCAATAAATCAAATGTTTACCATGATTTTTACAGTTTTGCTGAAATTGTTTGACATCGACACACAGTAAAGTTGAAAATTGTTTTGAAGTGGTTTGATGATAATGGCTTTTTTATACGTTTCAGCATATTTCTACAAAAATGTGATTCTGCTTGATTCATTTTAATTGAATTTTTTATTTATTTAGAGTGTAGTTTGTGTGTGTGTGTGTGTGTGTGTGTGTGGCAGCATTGAAGTCAATATAAATATGCTGAGTGCACTTTGTGGGACTTTATACACACATCTCAGCATTTTGCTTAGTTTTTAAATCAGCATCTGTTTTAGTGCACTCTGGGCCACAGAGATATACAAATACAAAAAAATGCACCTGGCATGCTCAAACCTTTTCAATGGCAATACTGGAACAGGACAGGAAACACAGCTAATGAACTAAATTACATTTTTAATCAAATTTACCTTGGCCAAGTTATTGGTAAGAATAACCAACTACACAGGGGGTGGGATGTCATTGTTTGTTGGCATGCATCTGGACTTGAAAGAACATTGATGCTTTGCCTTTTTAATGAATGTAACATGACATGCCAAAAGTCTGAACAGCAGTACACAACCTCATCCTATTCGTTGGTGATCTGTAGTTGAAAGTGAATGTTTAACTGCATCCCAGAGATGCTTCAGTGAGTTATTATCTGGTAAGCCAGGAGGCCGTTTCAAATCATTAAAATCACTTTATTGTAGAAACATCGTAGGGACAAGAGTAAAAGTGAGTTACTTTTTTGCAATATTGCAGTCATGTAGTGAAATTATAACACAATATACATGTATTGTCTTAAAATGTCACAACAATGTAAGATGTACATAATAAAGAATATATTCACTGTAAACAGTATTTACATAATACACATTATAACATAATAAAAATACAGTATATACTGTGTAGAAAATGTACAAGTACTTACCAGTGAAATGGTTTAAGATTCCGGTTTTTGGTTCTAGGAGGCATTTGTAGATTGGTAAAAAAGCCATGGCCTTGTTTCAACTCAACCTATTCAAATTCTAAACCACTATGAATGCTCTTCCTACAATATGACGTTCAGATCATTTTTCATTTCAGAAATTGAATTCATTTCATGGCATTTATTAAAGCCAACAATCACTTTAATATTTAGGTGAAAAGCCACCTCTCTACTGTAACTATGAACTCTTACAGAGGAAAAAGATGCTTTAGTAAGAGCTTTTACTACAGATCGTTGAGGTTTTAGAGGGACGTTCCTTAAGTTCAAAGAGTTGACCAGGTCAGGAAGGTGTATGCAAATAGACAGAAAATAATTTAAAGGAACAGTTCACCTAAAAATTCAAATTCTGTCATTTACTCACCCTCATGTTAGTCCAAACCGGTATGATTTTCCTTCTTCTGTGGAAAGCAAAAGGATCAATTTAGCATTACATTGAGTAACCAATGAGAAGTTTCCAGTCAGTTTTACAACATCTAATTTACTGCCCTCACATCCTGTTATTATGAAACTCTTTGTTCTCTCTTTCTCTTTCTTTCGCTCTTTCTCTCTCATACAGTCTCTCTTTCCCTAACTCTTCCCGCCATGCTATAATCCCTTCTTAAACTTCATTTGCAGATGTCAGTGATCTAAAACGATCAAGGACTGGAGACCACCACAAAAAAAAAAAAAGACAAAGAAGAAAACAAAGGAAGCTCCCAGACGTGGAAGATAATTCTGCATCAACTTAAAGCTTCTGGTAAGTTTAGAAGTTTCTATTTATATATTTTTGTTCATTTTCATTTTACAACTAAATCAGGAATGTATTTCATTAATAATAAAGAATTAGAATTCTGAGAAATTTAAAATGAAACATGATCTATGGACATATTCTGCACTATTTCTTGGTCTTTAAACAAATACATTTTTCGAATAAACTTTTTACTTAAATTGTTATATTATATTATATTATATTTATTATATTATAACATATTTTGTAATTAAATTGTACAGAAATAAAATAAAATAATAATTCCAATAATTTTACATTTTTAAAAATTGGAGAAATGCAAAATTACGGAAGAGGATTAGGGCCAAACAATAATAATAAAAAAGAAAACCATCTCGAGATTAAAGTCATTATAATGCGAGATTAAACTTGTTAAATTTCAATAAAAAAAATTCTAAATAAAATGTTGAGAATAAACTCATTAAATTACGATTAAAAAGTCATTGTGTTTCGAGAAAAAAATCGTTAAATTTTGAGAAAAAAAGTCAAAATAAAATGTTGAGAATAAACTCATTAAATTACGATTAAAAAGTCATTGTGTTTCGAGAAAAAAATCGTTAAATTTTGAGAAAAAAAGTCAAAATAAAATGTTGAGAATAAACTCATTAAATTGCGAGAATAAAATCAAAATAAAATGCTGAGATTCTTTGCTGAGATCAGTATTAATCAACATCTGCAGTGGTGCAGGTCGTAGAGAGCAATGCTCCTGAATGAAGCGTATGCAGTTGGCCAGAGTTCAAATCTGCCTTTTGCCAAACTCGCTCTTCTTCCTTTTTTTCATCAAATATCACATCGGAAAAGTGGAAATCAATTGCCTAACGAGTGTTTAATAATGATGTATTAATTGGGTAGGTTAAGGGGTAGGTAGGCTATAGTAGTGCTGGGCGGTATGACCAAAAATTTATATCACGATATTTCAAAATTAGACCGGTTTTACGGTATATGACGGTGTTTTTTTTATTATTAGCTATATAGACCAAAATAATTTTTTGAACCAGGCTGTAAACATGTTTTTTTCTGCTGTAAAGTTGGGCAATTTAACATGGGGAGTCAATGGCTAGCATGGTTTAGTTGATGATCTAAACTGTGGATGAGATACTGGGAGTGTAATGAATTCAACCGCCAGTAAATGTCAAGGCTGCTGTTCTACAAACACTCTGAAGAATAAATCTGAGAATTGAGGGCATGTGTGTATGTGGTTAATGAATTCTAAGAGCTTGCACCAGGGCTTGGTTTCCCAGGTTGCAGGTAGACACAATCTAATATTCACCAAAACTCGCGTCACCCTTGTGCATCACTAGGCAACTGGTGCCCGAGTGAACTACCTATTCTCTTCCCTTAGAAGTTACTGTATTTGTATTACAAGAGGCCACTGATTATATCACAACACAAAGTCAATAAAAAGACACAGGAGACGTTTGCACAGTCTGTGGTTTGCAAGTAAGACAAACCCAACAGGATGAAAGCAGATGCTTTTTCATGTTTGCCAATGTAAAATAAAAGAGATTAGCACATGACTCTCTCTCTTTTCATCTACGTCATCAATCTCGTAAGCAATAGTTTGCGTAATGTGACGTAGTAGTGCACATTTACAACTAGGCTATTCACATATACATATACAAGAAGCCTCTTATGCTCACCAAGGCTGGATTTATTTGATCAAAAATTCCAAAGAAACTGTAATATTGTGAAATATTATTACAATTTACAATAACGGATTTCTATTTTAATATACTTTATGATACAGTATAATTCACACGATCCTTCAGAAATCATTCTAATATGCTGGTTTATTATCAGCGTTTTGATAATAAACATGACAATTATCAATTGTTTTACATCCTTGCTGAATACAAATATTCATTTCTTTAAAAAAAAAAGAAAGAAAGGAAGGAAAAATGCTGTTCTTTTTTAACTTTTTAATTATTGATAATAAATATCATATAAAATTAATATTATATTACATTAATATGAATATTATATTAGAATGATTTCTGAAGGACACTGAACACTGGAGTAATGATGCTGAAAATTCAGTTTTGTGTCACAGGAATAAATGATATTATACTGTATTTTAAAGAATAATAAAATAGATAACCGTTATTTTAAACTTAAATATATATGCCTATGGCTAAATTCAGAAAAGCAACTAGCTTTAAAACTAGACCTTTAAACTGAAAACAGGAGCAAATCAGCTTGGAACAGGGTTTATCACCTTTGAACACAGGAAATGATGTACTAAAGTGCAAACAGGGTGTATCAGTTACCTGTGATCATCTGATCTTTACTGCTATAAACCCAAGACATGCAGCAGTCACTCTTTCACACAAATGAGCAACATTCTGGATAAAGTCTGGTTTTTAATTCCGTTTGTCCAGTATGCACACACTGAGATTTATACTTTTTCTTTCTTTTTTAAGTGTCTTTGAATGATAGTTATTTTCCCTTCTACTGTAGATCAGCAGATAAAAACATGGAATCCAGCTCTGGAGAAATGGACAAAAATGGAGAGGAACTCATAGGTTTGTGAACATTCTTTTGGAATACATTCACATGTTTTCTGTTTAAGGGTTTATTTATATTTATATTTAGTCATTTAGCAGACGCTATTATCCAAAGCGACTTACAAATGAGGACAATAGAAGCAATCCAAACCAACAAAAGAGCAATGATATGCAAGTGTCACATGTATGTTCCTGTTTAGTCCCTGTTTGTCCTTATTTGGTTTGATTCCTGTTTCCTGTTCTTGTTATTAGTTAATCATAGTTCATTCTGTTCACCTGTTATGTTTCATTATCCCTTTTGTCTCCACTCCATTTAAGCCCTGTGTTCTCCTGAGTTTCTTTGTCTGGAATTGTTCATGTCAACCTTGCTACGTGTGCTTTCCTGTTTCCTTTTGATTATTAAAATTAGTAAAATTCTCCTATGTCTCCTCGCTCCTACACAGCAGCAGTACCGTGACAACAAGCGCTATAACAAGTCACAGTTAGCGTAACACATTACACATAGCAAGGTTTTTTTTTTTTTAATAATATAATAAATAACAAGAAAACAGATAGCATAGGAAAAAAATAGAGCAAGCTAGTGTTAGAGGTCTTGTTTGCTTTTGTTAATTGTATAATAAATGAAAAGTAAACCGATAGAATACAAAAAGATTAGAAAGCAAGTGTTAGTTTTTTTTTTAAAGAAAACAAGCAGCAAATGAATAGAGTGCAAGTCTAAAAGTGACAAGTGTTTTTTTTTTTAAGAATAGAATTAGAATAGAGAGTGCTAGAG